ATATTATGATCTTCAAATGTCTAATTTGAAACTTGGTTTAAATTTGTTCTGCCCAATCCAAAAAATGCTCAGACTCAGAAGAGATTACTTATGACCACTGGTTGTTTTTATTAAAGGGTGTAATCTTGACATACAGTATTTAATGAGTGAATCAAATTGTGCAATAAATCTCAAGAACTCTTCCTATAAGAGTAATTCTAGCCACATGCGATTTCAGTACAATAAGGAACATTAAGCACAACTCACACACAATATGTTAGTTTTGATACTACTGTGTCCTGAACAGTGGTTTCAACCGAGGGTGTTTTTGCCTTATGATGGTCATTTTGGAATATCTGGAATCAGTTTTAGTTGTTCAAGCCTTGAGTACTGTTGGAATCTTATAAATAGAAACCAGAGATGCTGATAAACATCCTACCAGACACAAGTTAGCTTTCATAATAAAGATTTATCTGGTTCAAAATGTCAGTAGTTCTAAGGCGTAGAAATCCTGACCTAGAATCATGGCTGAGTCTGGAGAATGTACTCATGCTGAGGGGAGGAGGGAGGGGGGTGTTCATTGCCTCAGCATGAGTGTGAATTGAGAAAAGGTCAAGGGCTTGACATTTTTCACTTTTGAGTGTCTTAATGGAGCAATTGTTATTTCAAAGATTAAAGGGGGAAAACTAAGTAAAGGCTGAATTTATAATGAGGTCATGTCTCTTCTTGTTTCTTGATCTGCTTCCAAAGAAAAAGAGAAAGGAAATCACCCACAGACTGAAGTTACCACGTTTTAGTGCCTGGGTTAATTAAACAAGAATGGGTATTACTATCGGGGGAGAGTGATGTCTATATCTTAATTACAGATTTACCGAAATGCACAGAACTCTCTGGGCAGCAAGTTGGTTGCTCTGAGGTACTGGGACAAACTGTCATCTTAATCTATGATTTATAGGGTGTGTCACTTCAGTCACTCAGTTTAAGTTCCTTAGCTGTGTGCTTGCTGGCCCGTTTCTATGTGACGGTTGCTCTTGGGTTGGGAGCAGCTGCTTTCTCTTAAATGCCTATGCCTATGTTTTCTACATTTCTATGACAATGTGTTCACACCAATATAATTATGACTGCATTAGCACTTGCCCTGTAAAGCATATGATTCAGGGGTTTATGAGAAGGTAATAAAAACTCACATCAAGCTTAAACTTGTCTCTGGGTGGGGGTAGTTGTAAATGGTCATTGTTGGTTAGGGCCTTCTGAAGTTTGTGGTCATTAGTCCTATTTATGGATTATTTCTCTGCAGAGCCAAAACTATGTGCTGTGGGATTTAGAGCTTTAATCATTTAGCAAAACACAGAACCCTTGCCAAGTTTCATTGGCATTCATTAATTCTTTCGACAAATATTTGAGTGCTTAAAATGGGCCAGGGGCAGGTAAACAACCCCGAGTTCATGTTCTCATAGAGTGTATTTTACACAGGGAAAGGAAGCAAGAGGTTAGGGAGAAAGAGGCCAAGGAGCAAGAAGAAATAGAAAGAAGAGAGAAGAAAGAAGAGTCTGGGGCAGGGAGAGAAAGAGGGAAGGAGGATATGGAGGAGTAAAAGGAAGAGGAGGAAGAAGAGGGAAGAGAAAGAAAGAATGAACGAATGAAGAGAAGAGAGGTGAAAATGGAAATGACACATGCCCAGAGCTTGACAAAGCATTTAAATAGGGTGATTTGTGGCTAGAAAAGTAGACAAAGATGGTATCTTTAGGAGGCTATGGGAAAGCAGTCTTTTCTGCCCAAGGCATTCCAGGCAGAAGCATCATTTGGCATAAACTGCCAAGGCTGTGTGAGTAGGCAGGGCCATAGGCTGGGGCAGGAAGGGCAAAGGCAGGATGTGGCAGATGTGATAGGGAGTGGAAGCAGGCCAACCAAGCCCTTCTAAACTAGGATTTGGGACTTGGCTTTTAAAACAGGGGAGGAACGTGGGCTGATCTGAGTTTGAAATAGATCCTTTTGATAGTTTTGGTTTGTAGAGGGAGCAGAGAGCCTAGTTGGAAAATCCAGATGGTGACATTATGAACATGTTTGCAGGGCTACCTGTGCAATCCCCTTCGAGGGGCGATCAAATCACTGAGCAATGTCCAGAGAGTGAGATTCAGGCTAACACTATTCTCTTACTGGAGTAAACTCCTGCAGGAAATCTATTAAACTAGAAAGGATTGAGGGAAAAAAAATAAAGCCTTTGTCAATTTGTTCACCTGTAAAATGGGCTTTATAATGCATGATTTTGCAGAATTGTCCTCAATTGATAACATATGAAAAGCTCTTAGTTCCAGGCATATCAGCTGTTAACTCATAAACACATTGACTACCACACAGACGTTGGAAGGCAAGGAATTTTCTTGTTAATCTTTTTATTTTACTTACCTATTCTTTGAGAATTTCATACATCTATTCAAAGCATGGTAATCATATCCAATTGCTCTCAAGACACAACTAAAATTCTTTTGTACTTTTCTTGAAAAACAGGGGACCACCCCAGAATCAGAAATATTTTTTCTCTATTCTTGAGTTTTGACGTCTTCTTTTCCTACTCATTTCTGTTGTGTTTTCTTATTGCCTCCAATTGCTGTCTGGAAAGATGGCACCCATCTGAGCATATGCACTGCAGTGGATTTCAGAGTGAAGAAAGGCTTCTGCACGCTTTACAATCTAATAAAAATAATGAGACAGCGAGGTGGAGGGAGGGAGGAGAGAGAGAGAGAGAGTTCTGCAGCCATCACCAATGCCTAATTAAAACATTTTCCTCACTCGAAAGTGAAATCCTGTAAGCACTAGCACTTCCTCCCCATCTCCCCTTCTCCACAGCCTGTGGCAACCACTAATCTGCTTCCTGTTTCTCTGCGTTGGCCTCTTCTGGACTTTTTCTCTCTGTGGAATCATAAACTATTTATCATTTCCTGGCCTGCTTCCTTCACTAGGCCTAATGTTTTCAAGGCTCATCCCTACTATAATTAGCTTCTTATTGCTGAGATAGATATCTATATATTTTGATCAAAATGGAAATCTTTTTGCACAGTAGTTATAGCAGATAGCAAATTATTCAAGTACATTTTCATAATAAAGAATTTGATAAAGTGTAAGAAAAATATGGCATAAGCTATAAGAAAAAAATTGATAATAAAAGTTCTGGAGTTTGTTGATGATTGCTCTTACCTTAGAATGGATCATAAATAGAATATTCTCCTTTTGATACTATTATGGCGCTGCCACAATTGGTCTACTTCTACTACCTCTTATCAAGCTGTCTTTCTGGTTTGTAGTTCACCCCCTACCCCCCACCCTTTCCTTTTCTGTAGTCTGTAACAAGCCTGGCAAACTACAGCCCATAGGCCAAATCTGGATTGAAGCATACTTTTGTAATCAAATTTTTATTGGGTTGTGGCCACACCCATTCATTTACATATTATCTGAGGCTGTTTTTACTTACCATAATAATGTTGAATTGTGGCAAGGGAAATCATATGGTTCACAAAATCTAAGTTATTAATTATCTGGCCCCATATGTCCAAAAAGATTACTGACACCTAGTCTAATGAGTGAGCAAAGACAGGACCTCAGAATTTATTTGTATCTAATCAGAATAATTTGTGGTTTACTGTGAGTTCTCTGAGCTAGAGCAACTCATTCCCAACACCATGAAAATGATCTAATTATTTGTAGAAATAATTTTACCTTTATATGAGGTTAAAAATATTTCAATGAAAAGTGGTGTTGGATTATTTCTAAATATTCCAGGCCTGTGAGTAAATGTGACTGCTACCTTGTGGATTACAAATATCACATAATAACCACATATACTCAACCCAGTGCTGCACACAAGTGTATCACACTTGACAATATGCATACTATGTGTGCTTTTCTGAACACAGGAATTTTTAAGTTCCCAGAAACTCCAGCCAAAAGCTTTGGAAACTGTCCGCTTTGATCAGCTTTTATCTAAATCTGGACTCACAGATTTAGAGTCCCGTAATAAAAGCCAGGCAATTTTCATGTCCTTGCCTCTTTACCTGCCAGTACCAACTGTACCATTTTATCTGAGCAGAGGCATTACCTCAGGGCAACCTATTTGCCTTACATGTGTCTTCCTTCTTGTCATACTTAAAGAGTTAATAGGGGGGGGAAACAGAAAAGATTATCGTTAGAGCATCTTGTTTTCTGAACAAAATCGAAATATAATCTTACTTCCAAATGTGTTCCTGATAAAGCTCATCCCTTAATAGCACTTGTCTTCTTGACCCAGTTGTACCAATGGCTCATGTTTCTCATGTGCTCCATTCTCGCTATGCTTCCTTCTATCTTATCCAATAGTCTAAGAGCTTCCAAATGAAAACAACTCTTGTTTCTGTGCTCAGCAGAGTATAGTACAAATGAGGCAGTGAACAAAAGACAGTTGAATCACACATCCACAACCTGTTTTCACTCCAGTATACTCAACTTTAATGGCATACCTGTGTTTGCTAGTTCTCTACTGAGCATGATTATGATATAAGCTGAACCAAATCATTTTCTTGGAAATGTCAAGTATATATTTTTACAGTAGAGGAACAGAAGGAGCACATTTTGGTGACCCTGGCATGCACAAGCCCCACACGTACATGGTCTGGAACTTCTGTTGCTCTCTTGGTTCTGACCAGACCTTTAGTTGTTTAAAAAATTTTATTTTTATTTCATACACATATTTTTTAAACCTTCAAGCATTCTCCTTCATGTGTGTTGTGTTTTTAATCTATAAATTCCCCATATTAGCACTGTTTATTTGTTTGCTTGTATTTAATACTGGGTCTTTCTGTGTCATCCAGGCTGATGTGGAACTGACTTTGTAACCCAATTTCCATCCCTGCCTCAGCCGCCAAAGTGCTGGGACTCCGGGTGTGCACGACTGTGCCTGGTTAACACTGTTTTTTTTTGTTTGTTTGTTTGTTCTGTTATTTGGTTTGTTTGGTGGTTGTTTTGTTTGCTTTTGTTTTTGGCTTTTCTTTTTCTTTTTTTCCCTCCCTTTCCCTCTCCCAAAGGGAGAGAAGAACGATACTTAGTTGAAAGAGGCAGCTCCAGGAAAGTGGCACCTAGAACCGTCTTCACATTCAGGAGGGAATGCTATGTCTCCTCCTCATGGTCTCGGGTGCTCTACAAGTCAAGGAAACTTCGCCAGTAATGAATTATATAAATGATACCTGAAAGGATAGTTAGTGTTAACACTGGTGTTTTAAATTATGATTTATTTCATGAAGTGCTGTGGGTTTTTTTTCCTACAGTGGTGATTATTTTCTAGCCTTTAATCAATGAATTTAATTGTTATTAGCAAATCAACCGTAGGTCCTGTGGGAGATATAAGATACTTTCAGATTAGGTGACAGGTATTAAAGTATCCAAATATGGATATTCATACATACATTTATTAAAAATTGTAAGATTTCAAAGAAAATGATTGGGTGTTGTGGAGGAAATACCAGGAAGGGCAGGTGCTGTAGACTGAGGAGTACAAATGCCCAAATGCTGATTGGACAGAGAATTCATTTCACAAGGTAAAACAAAACAAAACAAAAACTGTGCTGGTAAAGGAGCTGTTTCTAGAGATGAGGCAGAATCAAGGGAACACAGGAAACATGCTCATTTGCTTGTGTGGTGGAGGGGAAGGGGAAGAGAATGTGCCAGTGAAAACTGGTGTGCTGGTGTGCTGGCAGGAGGTTGGACCTGGAGTGACACCCAAGAGAGGGAGTGAAAACACGTGGATGCTTGAAACCCTTGCAGCTCTTCTTGAGGCTTTCCAGTGCCTGAGCCCAACACAAGCCAGACAGATGGAGGGATAAAGTCACAGAGAGAGTTGCATGGGATTCAGGATACAGAGCAAGATGTAGGGCTAGACAATGGATAATGGAAGCAGATTGTGAAAAGAAGTGAGAGAAGACGGGGACAGCCTTTCCTGGGTGTGTTATTGAAGTGATGAGATAACCGATAAAGGTTCACTGGTCACGAGAGGAACTTGCCAGTTAGATGGAGCAAACTATGTTAAGTCTTTGAGCTAAGAAAACTCTTAGGGAACATAGTAGCTAAAGAAGAGGGAATAAGGTTGGGGGGAAAAGGGCAGGCTTCAGGTCATGGATGCCTTGACCTTCTGAAGTTTGAATGTTAGTTTGAATGTTACTCCTAGTGCTGTGGCTGTCTGTTAAAAAAAATGAAGCATTCTCATTGAGGACTGCGGCAGTTGTGGGGGGGAGAAGATGAGAGGTTACAGTCAGGCATGGGGCAGAATAAGTGCAGATATTTCACTATAAAAGATAATCTTTTTTTCTCTCCATTCTTGACTGTGATGCGGTGTGACTAGCTATCTCAAGCTCTGAAATTTATGACTTTCTTGAAATGGTAGGCTGTAGCTTGAAACTCTAAGTTGAAATAAAGCGTTCCTGCCTTGTGTTTCTTTTGGTCAGAGGGTTTGATCCCAGCACCAGATAAAAAAACTAAGACAAAATGCAACTGGAAGGCCATGACAATAGTGCTGCCATGAGTTGAGAGCAGGGCAGCATTGCTTTGCCTTCTGTCACAAGTGCTAGTCCCTTTGACTCTTTCCTCCAAGACCTTGCTGTTCCCTGAAGCCAGAAATGATATGTCCTTCCCTTTAACCCCATGCTCTACACACACAATAAACAAAATAGCAGTGAATCAATACATATATGAAGAGCAAGTGAATGAACAAAGACTAGGCCTTAAATGTGATAGAATGTAAAGATGTGATTGGGAAACAAGGATATTTAAGTCTTCACTCCCTCTGATGCTTTCTCCATCTCAAGAAGAAATCACTAGAAAGAGTGTTGAGAGAAGTTAACTTGGGACCTCTCAGACTACAAGACTATTGCTGTACATATGGTTAATGTTGCCTATCAACTTGAAAGGGCCTAAACTCACTTAGGAAACAAGCCTCTGGGAATACCTGTGAGGAATTTTCTAGACTTAGTTAACTAAGGTAGGAAGACCCACCCCGAATACGGGTGGTATTGCTCCTACGGCTTTGGTCCTGGACTGCATTAAATGAGCTGAACACCAGCATTCAACCTTCTCTGCTTCTTAACTCTGGATGTAATGGGACCAACTATCCCATATCTTTCGGCCAGGACTTCCCCATGCTCAAACTGTCAGTCAAAGTAGACACCTCCTTTCTTAGGTTGCTTTTGTAATGTGTTCTGCAGCAACGAGAAAAGTCACTAAAACATATATAAAATTCAAGTATGAACACTAGATTTTGCAAATCCATTAACTATGTAGATTCTGTATCCAGATTCAGCTAGTCCGTTTATGTCATCTGGATCTCCTTTAGATGAAAGAACATTGCATCTAGCCCTCAGCTTTGGAACCAAGAATTTTAGTCTAATTGTAGCTTTGCTATAAACAGCCTGGGTGATACTAGCCAAGTGGCTTTAACAGGCTTAAGTTTCATTCTGTTCATCTGTGAAATGACAATGCTGATACCCATCTCATCACCAAATTGAAAACTGGAAAAATGTATGTAAAAGTGCAACTTTGAAGCTACAAATTATTACATAAGTCTTCATCATCATTTATTCGTATTAATCAGATAGTATAAATAAAGCCTGATCGATTTTTATTTCATGTTTCTTTAAAATATTTTTGATACATTTTATTTTTGAAATTGAAATGTAATTACATCATTTCCCTCTTCCCTTTCCTTCTCCTAACCATTTCCATTTAACGCCCTTGCTCGCTCTCAAATTCATGGCCTCTGTGTCTTTAATTGTTGTTACATATGTGTGTGTTTGTGTGTGCGTTTCTAAATATATAAGTGCAACTTGCTCAGTTGTTTAGTTTTACTTCTATGTAAATATTATCAGAGGCAACCACTTGGTATTAGATAACCAATTAGTATGTTTTTCCCTGGGCAAAACTATTTCTGCCTCTCTTCCTGCCTTGTCTAGGGGTGAGGACTGTGAGATTTTCCAGTTCCATGTTAGCATACTTATTGGTGTTGTCCTCATTCAGGTCATATAGTCATATATATTTGTTTTTTGGCTTTTGGTTTTTTTGAGACAGGGTTTCTCTGTAGCTTTGGAGACTGTTCTGGAACTCTCTCTGTAGAACAGGCTGGGCTCAAACTCATAGAAATTTGCTTGCCTCTGCCTCCTGCGTCCTGAGATTAAAGGCGTGTGTTACCACTGCCCAGCCAGGTCCCGTGTATTTTTAAAAATTGCTTTTATATATGTTATTCTGAAAATCCTCAATTATAAAAGAAATGCCTTTCCTTCTTCCTTTTTGTTTTTATTATTTTATTTCTTCTTGTTTTGGTTGGTTGGTTGGTTGGTTGGTTGGTTGGTTGAAGACCCTGAAACCCAGACTGGCCTAGAATTCTTCAGTTTATGGCAATTCTCCTGCTGCAGTCTTCTCTAATGCTAAGAGTATGGACATGAGCCACCACCCCTGATGCCTTTTCTTCAATAGGATGTTATTTTTCTTTCTTAAAATAATTCTAACTTTGAGATCAGAGATATAAGTCGTTCAGTTATGAGAAGTTGGCTAACCATATTTGAGGCTCAAGTTCCATCTCTAGCACTGCAAGCAATTATAACTTTACATTTGATTTTAAGTAGTGCATTGAAAACATTCTTGCCAGAAATTATTGGCACTAACAAAAGTATTTAAAGCTGCTGTATAAAAATAATCACCACATCGCCCTCTCTACCTTTGTCCTTGTTCAAGCGAAACATGTTGTGACAGTTTGGAGTTTAAGTTCTTTTTATATGATTTCACATATATTTGCTTTATCTTATATAGCTATGATCATATATTTTGTATTATGGAATCTTTTTTCTATCTTAATATTTTATTTTACCATTTGCTCTAGTAAATTATAGATTATTAAGGTTAATACATTTTTTTTCTTAGACACACCAGCATATTAGTTGTTATTTGCCCACAGTACTCCTTTGCTTTTTCCAAACATTTTAGAACAGATTAAGAGAAACATCAACTGTGTCATGCGTGAATCTTCAGCACTTCTGGAATCATGATCCTCTTTCATCACTGCCCTGTCAGTCAACCTAAATTTTTTGAAAATACAAATCCTCAGAGGAATTGGTACTGGGGTTAGTTGCTGAGTTCTCATAATGAAAGGCACACAACAAATTGTCAATGGGGTTTAACGTTCAGTTTTTCAAATCTAATGTGAATGCTGCCATTTCCCATTGTTGAAAAATAACCCATTTCCTATTGACTTTTGTGTGGCGGTGTTGTCAAATATGAGTTTGGGAAACTGTATTTGTGAGTCAGTGTGGGTATGTAATCCCTATAAAAGTCTAATGAAGTTGCTACATTAATGGTTGAATGTATTTATTAACCACCTTAGTGTTTGGTTTGTTGTGTTTAATTTCCTGTATTTTAATTTTATAGCTGTGTAAAAATCAGGATCAAATCTAGAACTCAGAAATAAAGCAGAGTATGTTGCAGTTTTCTTCTCACTTTTTCTGTAAAAGCAAGCGTGTTTTTCACAAAATATTGATTCATTCAGAACTCTAAAAGCTTGCATGAAATTAATGTAAATCTCTGTTACACAAAGCAAAAATATGCTTCTGCCCGTAGGAGAGCCATCCGTGAAAGGCTACAAGTCTGTTTTTAATCTCATATTTAGTTAAGGAACCTTTGTGATGGAGGTAAAGAATTGCCAAAGGAAAATGCTTTCCTGCTGCTGAAGAAATGATGAAGCAGGCAGTGGGTTTATTTTTATAACAATGTGTTTTGATCCTGTGACAAATGTTTCACTATAGCCTTAACATTTTTCCTATTCTAAACTAAACTGTGTATGTTAACATTCTGATCTGTCTCAACTTCTAAGAATACTAAGATGGATTGTTGGTGTTGAAGACTTTTCTATCTGCTTTCCTGTAAATTTAATTCAATTACATGGCTGTTGAGTGTTTCCCATTTGCAAAGTACCAGCTAGCGTTCTGCCTAGTCAAAGAAAGTTGGCTAAACCAAGAGCTCTCTCTCAGGAGAAAGTGAAACTACCCCAGAATTATTGAGGTATAAAGAAGAGGGCAATGTAATATGTATATTGCTAAAAAGGAAACCAAGGAGGGAAACAAATTTAAATAAGAAAGATACTGAAGGTCTTGGAAAACAAAGACTTACATTAAAAGATGGGTAACTTTTGATATTTTTTGTGAGGGTTCTGGGGCAAGAAACCA